TGAGGGCCCCAGTGACCATCAGGTCTCCTGATAAGTTGGAACAGAGGAAGGGAGTCACAAGTCTAAGTCTTCCTCCCTCTTTAGTGAGAATCTACAATAGGTGCTTGTAATCCCAGCTGAGGCAGGAGGATTGCTTGAACCCAGGAGGCAGAGGTTGCAGTGAGCCAAGGTCTCGCCACTGCATTCCAGTGTGGGTGACAGAGCAAGACTCTGTCTCAAAGAAAAAAAAAAAAAAAAGGAAAAGATGAGCTATAATATCTTGCTGTGCCAGAAAGTAAGGAATTGCTTAAGGATTGAGGGGGACATGACAAAAGGACTCAGAATCCAGTCATTAGAAGATAATTTGAGCACCAAAGTAAGCAATGTTATAATGGATTATAACCCATTGAACACAACTGAATTCGTGATTCCATAATGATATAAATAAATACATGAATACATTAAAAACTTGATGAGGAATATATAGTTATGTAGTATCAAAGAATCTACCCACAAAATATTTCTTTTTTTTTTTTTTTGAGATGAAATCTCACTCTTGTCACCCAGGCTGGAGTGCAATGGTGTGATCTTGGCTCACTGTAACCTCCGCCTCCCAGGTTCAAGCGATTCTCCTGCCTCAGCCTCCTGTATTTCTTAATTACAAATGCAGGAAGAATGACATTATGGTGGAGGACACAACCAGACACCATAATCAAAAATCAAAGTAAACATCACCCGTAATGGAACAGATTGAAGTTATTTGTCACTAGATATGATGCAATGAGAAGTCAAAGCATCTTCTGTGATATTCCTGCCAAAGTTGCATAGCCAGAATCTGATTATGAAGAAACTTCAGATAATCCCAAATTGAGAGAAATTTTAAAAACTCCCAACCTATGCTTTTCAAAAGTGACAAGGTCAAGGAGGTTGAGGAAAGACTGAAGAACTGTGTCAGGCTGTGGTTGACTAAGGAGACATGAAAACTAGTTGCAAAATGTGATTCAGGATTCTAAACTGGATTCCAAAATGAATATAATGAATATCATTGGGATTTATTGAGGAAACACTAATGAAAATGAGGATTAGATGGCCCTAATGCATCAATGTTAATTTCCTGAATTTGAAAGTTATATTTTGGTTATATAGTCAAATTGCCTTGCTTATAAGAGCTGTATACTGAAATATTTCAGGTTTGGAGCTTCAGGTCCAAAATTACTCTCAAATGTTCAAAATAGAGAAAATTCTCTGTTTGTACCTCCAACTTTTTATTACATTTATAGTTATTAAAGTTATACAAATATATATGCATTTGTGTGTATATATATAGATATGCATACATATAGATATGCATATACATAGATAAATGATACATATAAAACCAACAATGGACTCATATCTAATCTATGCAAGCCCTTCACAAAAGATTTGATATTGCCAAAGGACATTTGAAAAATCACCTGGCATCATGAAGCTCCACTGAAATGAAAATTAAAACTACAATAAAATATTATTACACATACATCAGAATGCTTAAAATGAAAAAAGACAATATACTAAGGGTTGGCAAGAAAGAGAAGCAGTTGGCACTCTCAGTAAAATTGTAGATTTATTAAACCATTTGGACAATTATTTGGCAGTCATTAATAAAAGTGAACACATGCACATCCAGCAATTATGCTCATAGTTGTATCAATAGAAATCCTTATACTGGGATAACAATGTATTACAGTAATAACAGCACTATTCACAATAGCCACAAACTAGAATCAACTCAAAAGTCCATAACAATACAATGAAAAGATAAATTTTGGAATTGTTATAAAATAAAACACTCTAATGTAACCCTAACTTACCTACTGCTATTTGTGACAACATGAATGAATCCTACAAACACAAAATTAAGTGAAAATACTAGATACTTAAAAATACATAATGTGATTCCATTTATATTAAGTTCACAAACAGGCAAAACTAACCTATGGCATAATATTGGAGATATCTATTGGGGGAGGAAGGTAGGAGGAGACATAAAGGGACTTCTGGGGTCCTGGCAAAATTACTTTTCTTGATCTGTGTGTTCATTACACAGATATGTTTAATTCATGATAATTCATTGAGCTATATACATTTAGGATGTTTCCAACATTCTCTTTGTATATTACATTCCAGTGAAAAGGTTTATTTAAAAAGAAGCAGTTTGCATTCACCCAATTTCACCCAAGCTGAGGTTTGCATTACTCTGTCACTGTGGAGGGCTTCAGCCAGATGCCCTCCTGACAATCCATTTGGGCAATAATAGGAGATCTCTGCAATGTGACAATCACTGAACTGGGAATTAAAACCTGGATTCAAAAAAAAAAAAAAAAGATTATATGCTGATGCACTGGTGAGAGTTCACCTCACTTATTCACCAATTCCTTATTTCTAATAATAAAGTAGGGATTAGGCTAGTGGATCTCTGAGACCCCTTCTGTCTCTGTCTATGTTTCTTTCATTCTTTGACCGGACCAGGCAGAAGTCTCAATAGAAAGAAGGAATAGAAACCCATTTTTCAAGAAATAAAATGATTGTTTTAAAGAAAGACATTGAGGTCATTTTATCTAAAACAAAGTAGTGCACTTCTTTTAGAGTTCAGAGCTATGTGAACCAAGCAGTAAAATAACTGTTTCTCTTTGTCTCAGATAAATTATTCACCACAACCTGGACTGACTCAAATTCCAAAGGTTACAAAACCACACCCTAATTGTAATCAACCTATGTTGCACATGTTGAGTTGGTTAATGTGTATTTGAAAGTCACTGATTATCCTGAGTAATGAAATATTGCCTCAGAGTACATGGTGAGTAAATGTTGGTGACTCTGGTTGAACTGAATTTCTTGCTTGGAGGGAATGATGTAAGAGTTAGGAGATAGGGTTCCAGCCTCGGCCCTATAATTTTCAGCCTCTGTGTCCTTGAACAAAATACTGAATCTCCAAGGCCCAGCTTCCTTATCTCTAAAGTGGGAATAATTTTACCATAGGCAAGGGTAATTGAGAGGATCAAAAGAGTTATGATGGGTATAAAAATTCTCTGTGAATTGTCAGAATCCCTGTAAACATGTTTGATAAAACATTGTTGATATGGGATCTTGACAAAACTTAATTTTTCCTTATTGCAGTTAGAAATAACTGCACGAATCCAGTATTATTTCCAATAGCCAAGATATAGAAACAACCTAAGTGTTCATTCACAAATAAATGGATGAAGAAATTGTGGTGTTTATTTATATACACAATGGAATATCTTTTAAACTTTAAAAGGAGATACTGCCATTTGCAACAACAAGGAATGAACCTGGAGGATATTATGCTAAGTGATATGAGCTAGATACAGAGGAAAAAAGATTGCATGATTTCACTTATATGAAGAATCTTTAAAAAGTCAAGTACATAGAAACAGAGAGTAGAATGGTGGTTACCAAAAGTGGAAGGGGGAGAAAATGGAAAAAAGTGCGTTAAAGAGCCCAAATTTGCGGTTAGATAGGATGAATAAGTCTAAAGATCTAATATACAGCAAGAGGACTATAGTTAATATACTATACTGAAAATTTGCTAAAAGAGTAGATTTTAGGTGCTTATACCACAAAAAAGAAGGTAATTATAGAATTGATGGATATGTAAATTTAACTGTAGTAATCATTCCACTGTTATGTCTACCAATGTTGTATACCTTAAATATATACAATGCAAATAAATAACTGTACTAGTCATTTAGAATACCACAATGATATCTTTACAGAATATGCCTTTGTACAAGCATTGTCATTAATGATCCAGAAATGTGTGTATCATTTTAGTGATATATAGAGCCTCATGACCACTAAATGTCATATCCTGTTCAGGTCTGCACAACTGTGTTTGTTCTGTGCTGTGGCTCTGTTTAATGATTTCCCTACCTCCCATTCACCACTGAAGCGCATGCCTGTTGTTCTGCCTATAGTTCCCCTTCCTTGCTGTGGAATATTTCATTCCATTATTTCTGACAGAGACCAAAAAAGCAATAGAAACAGTTGTGTCTGGAGGCGAGTGGGAGGTGGAGAAGCCATAGTTGCTGAGCTCTTACCCACTTAATTCTCTGAGATTGGCTCTTTCCTCAGTTACACTCAGTAAGTTTCAGCTCTTCAGTAACAGAGAGGGGAGAAACTCTAGCTTTTATTTCTTCTCTTGAGAATGTACAGCCCTGTTATTTTGTGAACAGTGTGGTGTAGATTCAGACTGATGAATGTTTTTAGGATTTATTTTATTTTGCTAAAACTGTTCACAGGGCAGCTCAGGTGTAAGTGATAATATACTGCAGTGGGCATCAGAAGATCTCAGTTCAAATCCCAGCCTGCCATTTATGAGCTATGGAACACTGAATACGTCATCTCTTCTCCTAGAGTCTCCCTTTCCCCATTTGAAAAATATGAAATAATATTCTCAGCTGTCCAGGTTTTTCAGGGGGGTTAATGGAAAAAGGTGTGTATGTTTACTTAGTTAATTGATAACCGGTTTAGCCGTTTAAGATGAATGAGTTTGTTAGCTGCGCTATGTTTAGGCAGCTGTAATGTTAGTACTACACTAAAACATTTCAAAAGGATCTCATTTTCAAGGAAAATGATCCCAGTGCTTGAGAAAGCATTATAGTGTTGCAGTCTTGCTGATCCTTAGCTCAGCTAGGTCCGAGTTGCTATCTTATGCAGGAAGAATTAGGCACACAGACACCAGAGAGTGAGTGGAGTAGAATTTATTAAGTGAAAGGAAAACTCTCAGCAAAGAGAGGCCCTGAAAGCGGGTTGCGGATTGCCACTTCACAGTTGAATACCAGGATTTTTATAGAAAAGCTGATGAGGCTGGGATCCTTATTTGCATAAGGCGTGAATTCCTGGTGTTTCCACCCCTTCCTTCCATTGCGCATGTGGACTCTTAGTGTAAGCCACTCCATATTGATTTAATTCCGTTACTGCACATGTGTTAAAGGTAGGAATTTTTCACTGCGGGCATATTTAGGCAAGCTCCCTGTGCAAGTTCCCTTATCTGCACAAAACATCTAGTGTAAGTACTTGGGGTTTTTGTGGATTGGGCGATGACCTGGAAGGGTTGGAGGTTCTCTGGGGACCCTTCCCTTACTGCCTACCTAAAGCAAGCTGGCTACCTCCTCTCAATAGGATAAATATTATTTTACATACAAGGGATATAATACACAGATTCCCCTCAAGGTCATATTTCCAACTGTTCATCAATCTAAGAATCCAAAATTTTGAATACTTTTTTGATGAAATAATTTATTTCATTTGTTCTCAATTTTGGCTGCACAGTGGAACCACCTGGGGTTTTGAAAAAAACCTAGGCCTGGCCGGGCACGGTGGCTCATGCCTGTAATCCCAGCACTTTGGGAGGCCAAGGCGGGCGGATCACCTGAGGTCAGGAGTTCGAGACCAATCTGGCCAACATGGTGAAACCCTGTCTCTGCTAAAAATACAAAATCAACCAGGCATGGTGATGCATGCCTGTAATCCCAGCTACGCCGGAAGCTGAGGCAGAATCGCTCGAACCCAGGAGGTGGAGGCTGCAGTGAGCTGAGATCTTGCCCTTTCACTCCAGCCTGGGCAACGAGAGCGAAACTCCAGCTCAAGAAAAAAAGAAAAACAAAACAAAACAAAAAAAACCTGGGCTCTGCTTCAGACTAGTTAAACCAGAATCTCCAGGGTGGGGCATTGGAAATGAGAACAAGAAAAAAGAACACCTTATTTTTATTTTTTTCAGTGAGCCAATGTTCATTCAGAAGAGAGATTAAAGTGCTTTTTGCTGACTAGTCACAGTCAGAGTTAGAATCACAGGTGGATTAACAGCGAGTGTTATAAAAGCCTTGAAGTGAAAGCCCACAGTTTTCTTACTAAGAAGAGAAGCCTTCAATGGATCCAGCTGTGGCTCTGGTGCTCTGTCTCTCCTGTTTGTTTCTCCTTTCACTCTGGAGACAGAGCTCTGGAAGAGGGAGGCTTCCGTCTGGCCCCACTCCTCTCCCAATTATTGGAAATATCCTGCAGTTAGATGTTAAGGACATGAGCAAATCCTTAACCAATGTAAGTATGTTTTATGCTCCTCTAGTAATTTACAAGGTGTATTTAACCTCACGATTCCCAAAGTTTTATTTCATTTCAAAGTGATAAATGGTAATTGAATATATTAATGGGGTGCAATATTACATTTTGACACATGTATACATTGTGAATTGATCATCAGGGTAATTAGCATATCCATCATCTCAAATATTTGTCATTTCTTTGTAATGAGAACATTTAGAATCCTCTTTTTTAGCTGTTTTGAAATATACAGTACATTAACATTAATTATAGTCACCTTGCTGTCCAGTAGAACACCCGACCTTATTCCTCCTATCTAACTGTAACTCTGTACCTGTTGACCAAAGTATTCCCTTATTTGGCACATTTCCACCTGCCAGCCTCTGATAGCCACCATTCTAATCTCTACTTCTATGAATTCAACTTTTTAAGATTCCACATAGAAGTGAGATCATATATGATATTTGTCTCTATGCCTGGCTTATTTTATTAATATGATGTTCTCTAGATTCATCCATGCTGTCATAAATAAGAATATTTTTTCCTTTTTAAAAGGCTGAATAACATTTCATTGTACATATATGCCACATACAAAATCGATTAATTTATTGATGAACACTTAGGTTGTTTCCATATCTTGGCTATTATCAATAGCACTGCAATAAACATGGAAGTACAGACATCTCTTCCACATACTGACTTCAATTCCTTTGGGTATATACTGGTAGTGGGATTGCTGGATCATCTGATAGTTCTATTTTTAGTTTTTTGAGGAACATCCATACTGGTTTCTCAAATCACTACGCTAATTTACATACCCAAGGTTCACTTTATTCCACATCTTTGTCAACACTTGTTATCTTTTTATCTTTTTGATAATAATAATATCTACAAGTTGTGATGAGATATCTCATTGTGGTTTTAATTTGCATTTCTCTGATTAAATTTGTTGAGTATTTAAAAAATATATCTGTTCACCATTTATATGTCTTCTTTTGAAAAATGTCTACTGAAATCCTTTGCCCATTTAATTAATTAATTAATTAATAGAGACAGGGTTTTGCTTTGTTGTAGGCTGCAGTGTAGTGATAGGATCACAGTTTGCTGCAGCCTTGAGCTCCTGGGCTCAAGCCATCCTTCCACCTTAGTCCCCCAAGTAGCAGGGACTACAGGTGTATGCCACCATGCCTGGATAATTTTTTAATATTTTGTAGGGATGTGGTCTCTCTGTTGTCCAGGCTGGTCTTGAACTCTTGGGCTCAAGCAATCCACCCACCTTGGTCTCTCAAAGTGCTGGAATTATAGGCATGAGACATTGCACTTGACCCTTTTGCTCATTTTAAATAGAATTATTTGTTATTGAGTAATTTGAGTGTCTATATATTTTGAATATTAGTCCCTTATCTTATGTCTGAGTTGCAAATATTTTCTCCCAATCCGTGGATTGTCTCTTGACTCTATGACTTGTTTCCTTTGCTGTGCAGAAGTTTAGGTGGTCAGAATCTCATTTGTCTAGTTTTGCTTTCGTGGCTTGTGCTTTTAGAATCATATCCAAGAAATCATTGCCTAGACCAATGTCATGGAGTTTTTCTCTATGGTTTCTTTTAGCAGTTTTATTTTTTAGTTTCAGGTCTTATGCTTAAGACTTTAATTCATTTTGAGTTAATTATTATATAAGGGGTGAGATTAGGATTCTGTTTTATTCTTTGCATAAGAATATACAGTTTTCTCAACATCTTTTGCTGAAGAGTGCTTTCCCCATTGTATGTTCTTGGCACCTTTGTCAAAAATCAATTGATTATAGATGTGTGGGCTTATTTCAGGGTTCTCTATGTTTTCCTTTAATCAATGTGTCTGTTTTTATGCTAATGCTATGCTGTTTTGCTTACTATAGCTTTGTCACATATTTTGCAGTTCAATAGTGTGATGCCTCCAGCTTTATTCTTTTGGTTAATTTGCTTTAGTTATTTGGGGTCTTTTGTGGTTCCATACAAATTTTAAGATTGTTTTTTCTATTTCTGTGAAGAATGAGATTAAAATTTTTATAGGGATTGCATTGGATCTGTATATTGCTTTGGGTAGTATGACATTTTACCACTATTAGTTTTTCCAATCCATGAACATGGGATAGCTTCGCCTTTATTTGTGTCACCTTCAATTTCTTTCATCAATGATTTGTAGTTTTCAGTATATAGATCTTTCTCTTCTTTGGTTACATTTATTCCTAAGTATTTTATTTTTTGATGCTACTATAAATGAATTGTTCTCTTAATTTCTTTTTTAGATATTTTGTTGCTAGTGTATAGAAATGCCACTGATTTCTGCATGTTGATTTTGTATCCTTCAAGTTTACTGAATTTGTTTATCCGTTCTAGCACTTTCATTCTGAAGTCTTTAGGATTTTCTACATATAAGATTACATCATCAGGAAACAGACAATTTCACTTCATCCTTTCCTATATGAATATTCCTATATTAATATTTTCTATTTTTAGTCTAATTGCTCTGACTAGGACTTCCAGTACTCTGTTGAACAGAAATGGTCAGAGAGGGCATTCTTCTCTAATTTCTGATCTCGCAGGAAAAGCTTTTAGCTTTTCACCGTTAAATATGATGTTAGTTGTGGGCTTGTCACATATAACCATTAATGTCACATAGAAACTTCTGTATTACCAGAGGCCAGTTATTAAAGGTTATATGTTATATTATAGGAACATTCCTCAACATTCCTCCTGTACTACCAGAGGCCAATTATTAAAGTACGTTATTGTAAAGCAAATACTTCCTGTGGAGTATGTTTTTCTTTTGTGTCATTGTCAGAAATAGTGGAATAAAATAATGCATTTTGCCAGAAAAGAAACATTTTAAGTTGTAAGGTAGAATCAAAATGATAAAGGCCTGCTGCTTTTCTTTGCTTCACAGTCATTTGCTATAATTTTTTTGCCTGAAAGAAAATGGTAATGGAAGTGTTTTGTGATTAAAGGTTTTGAGAAGTCAGTAACTGTATATGCTATGTATTTTGCTTATATTAGCTATGATCATTAAACTTCTTAAAAAGCAAGTCATGCCTGATGTCAAAGAAATATCTATGAGTTCATCATAAACATAAATGAATGAAAGAAAGAATTAGTCAGGGCCATCTGGGTGGTAACAGAATATTTATGGCCTCTGTACAAAGCTGCTGTCTGTGACCTATGAGTGTACAGCATGGAAAACATTGTTCCTCTGTGAGATGCCACACATCTTGATACTATCTCTGTAGGGTCCACTGTCTTTCTGTGGTGATTATACCAGTGGATCTCAAAGTAGGCTGGGCAGTAGAATCATCTGGGTGATTTAAAAAGGTGTAGATTTTTTAGTATTGATGACAGGACTCCTGCATCAGGATCCCTATGGGATGAGCTTTGCAGGGGATCCTGAAGCAGTGTCCCAGTGGCTGAATATTGGTCAAAATATGGACATTGGAAACTGATAAATTGCTCAGGCATCACAGGTTGACTAAGCAGGCTTCAAATTTGGACGTTCTGTTTTTCAGTTGTGGGACACTGACAATGAATTTGAAATTCTTTAAAATTCAATTTGTCTTATCTGTAAAATAAAGTAAACAAATCTAGCTCAAGGTGTTGATGTGATGACTAAGTTTAATAACCTGCATACTAATTTCCTGGGCCACTGCCTGGCACATTGAAGGCACTGTATATGTGCAGCTAAAACAATAATCATCATCTTTATGTAAAATCCACAAATATTTGAAGCTGTATTTGACAGAATAATCATATCAACATTATGATGCTAGTATCAGTCTGAATCACGGACAATAAATAGACCAAATACTGAGCTTTGCTACTATTTGAACCTCCTTTTCTATGTTCAGTTCTCAAAAGTGTATGGCCCTGTGTTCACTGTGTATTTTGGCCTGAAGCCCATTGTGGTGTTGCATGGATATGAAGCAGTGAAGGAGGCCCTGATTGATCATGGAGAGAAGTTTTCTGGAAGAGGAAGTTTTCCAGTGGCTGAAAAAGTTAATAAAGGACTCGGTAAATGTGCATGTATCGTGTGTATGTGTACATGTGTATGTACTGGGCAGTGGTTATAGGGATGGGGAGGATGGAAAACAGAGGCTTGAAGAGCTCCTGAGACAGAACTTGACCCATCCACGTGGCCGCCGAGTGTCAGCTCTCTTGTCCTTGTTTGGAATCTCCCTCCTAGTTTCTGTTTTCTGTTCTGTTAGGAATCCTTTTCAGCAATGGAAAAAGATGGAAGGAGATCCGGCGTTTCTCCCTCATGACTCTGCGGAATTTTGGGATGGGGAAAAGGAGCATTGAGGACCGTGTCCAAGAGGAAGCCCTCTGCCTTGTGGAGGAGTTGAGAAAAACCAATGGTGGGTGACTTTTTTTTTTTTCCTGTAAAATGTTTTCTAAAATTTATTTTAATTTATTTTTAAATTGATACATAACCTTTATACATATTTATGGGGTACATATAATATTTTGTTACACGTGCAGAATGTGTAATGATCAAGTTAGGGTGTTTAGGATATGCATCACGTTGAACATTTATCATTTCTATATGTTAAGAACATTTCAAGACTTGTGTTCTAGCTATCTTGAAATACATAATACTCTGACATTAACAGACTGCTCTCTTCTCTAATGACATCCCTGGAAACCTCCTAGGGGTGGCCAGATCTCTCATGATAGGCAGTGGTTGTCAGTCCTCATATGGAGGGGGGAGGTTTGAAGCAGAGAGCCAAGGGAGCTTTTGTGCACCTATGCATGTACACAATGACTATGCATACAGTGTGAGTATAAAAGGCTTATTTAATCCTATTCTGTCCCAGGCTTGGTTTGTTTTCAAATCATTACAGCATTAATTTAGAAGGTTTTGTCTCATTTTTTTCAAATTATTAAAGAGTAATGTTTTTCCCATAGTGTAATTGTGGATTATCTATTCTAGAACATTTCACCAGGGAATACTTGTGGCACAGACATAGTGGGAATGATTTCTTTACATCTTTTAGGCATGAAACAACTGACATGTACTTTCATTTGGTTGGTCTATATTTGTACAGTCAGCCTCACTAACATATCTGGGGGTTTCTTCTGAGGTGTGTGACTATAATTGCTACCATAATGATGCTTATCTATGGTTTTAAGAGACTAGGCATCTTTAGTGTAGCTTTTATCAATTTTAATTTCCCTGTTAATTAAGAACTAATTAAAATTATCAGCTGGAGTTATTTAATGTTACTATTTACTGTAATGTTTTATATATTTTAAGAAAATAAATGCTATAACATAGTCTTTCAATTAAAAACAATGCCAAATTATAAAATGTTTATTTAAATAAATTTTAAGTATTATTAATAACTCTTTATCCTACTTTCCCTAGTTGTACATTAGCTCTGTATTCAGCTTTCTTTGTATTTTCCTTCATCTTTATTTGTGTATTAATCATGTTTTTTATTTTCTATTTTTTTATGATGCTTCGACATCTTGGGGATTTTGTGGTCCTAGAAGGGACTGCCTCTCCCAAAGTCAGACAGTTCCTAGAGATAGCAAATATCTTGTCCACAACATGTCTCTGATTTACAAAGCAAACTCTCCAGAGCTCAGAGCCCCATCCACCTTCTTTATCAAACTCTCACACATGAATCCAATATAGTTGTCCCTCCTTATCAGTAAGACATTGGTTCTAGGACTCCTCTTGGATACCAAAATCCACATATGCTCAAGTCCCTTAAATATGGCATAATATTTGCCATATATTTGGAGAATATTGACAATATTGTTTATAATATTTCCCAATATTAGAGAATATTGACAAGAAAAAAGGTCTGTACATGTTCTGTACAGATACTTTTTTTTGCTCTGAATATTTTTGATTTGGGGTTGGTTGAATCCATGATACACCATGGATACAGAGTGCTGACTGTATTCTCCTTGTCTTAAATCATTACAGAGCCAGTTATGGGACAACTATGGACCACCCCTATATCCCAGAGCCCACAGAAATTGTTCAAACTATCTATTCCCAGGCTTACTCAGTCTACCCACCCTATCTCACTCATTTCTTCCTGTGAAAACACCAATAAAGGCTCAGCCCCATGGTTTCTTTTTGCTCTTGCTGCCTCCTGACCAACCCTGGTACTTCCCCATGTGGCTCCCCACACCCTCAATGTGGTGTGGAGTGCCCCTCCTCCAGGAACTGCGAGCAATGAACTGTCTTTTCAAGGGCAGTCTGTTTTGGGGCTACCTGATCTGTTGACCTCACCAAATCTAAATAGAAACAAAATCCACGGTGAATATTAAAACAATTGGATTTAGGATTAAAAGTTATTTATCCTCTCCTCATCCCAGTTGGACTCACCTATAAAGTTCTTGTCATAATAAGTCTGATTTTCAGCTTGGATTACAAATTACCCTGATTTTTATTATCACCCTGATATAGTATGGATGTGTGTTCCCATTCAAATCTTATATTGAAATGTAATCCCTGTACTGGAGGTGGGGCCTGGTGAGAGGTGATTGGATCATGGGGCTGGATTTTTCATGAATAGTTTAGCACCAACCCTTTTGGTACTTTCCTCATGATAGCAAGTGAGTTTTCATGAAATCTAGTCATTTAAAAGTGCGTAGCACCTCCTGCCTCCCTCTCTTGCTTTGGCTTTTGCCATGTGAGTGCAAGCTCCTACTTTGCCTTCTGCCATGCATCATGCTTCCTGCACAGCCTGCAGAACTGCGAGCCAATTAAATCTCTTTTCTTATAAATTACCTAGTCTTAGGTATTTCTTTATAGCAATTCAAAAACAGCCTAATATACTCCCCCAATTGAAGTGAAAGGAAAGATCATAACTAGATTTTCACTATGAATATCATGTGCATGGGCATGTACAAACACACGTGCACGTGCATGCACACACACACAGAAATCTCAAACTAATAATCCCAAATTATCCCCTGCCTTCCAGGCTAGAATAAAAGATTTTCTGAAAACTTAGTGCCCTGGCATGTTTCAGCTGAAAAGAAGCCTGGCATAGGAGCAGTTAACTAAACACAGTCCTATTATTTAATTCCCCATCATTACCACACAGCATTTTTGTTCAAGTCACTCTTAATTACATTTATGATACTCTCATGTGTAAAGTTCATTGATGATTTGATTATAACAATTTTATTTAAAAATTGCTCACAAATAATCACTTTCCTCTATAATAATTTATTGATTTGTGAAATGATGGAATTACCTAAATGATGATCAAATTAAAAAATTTATAATAACATAAGGTATTTTTTTGGATGGCTAGATGGAACAATAACCGAGGATTCTATAAGAGGTCAGGCTTTGTTCAAATAAATTGAAGATAGTGCCCGGTGATAATAGACACAATTTCTTAGAGCCGGAAATTCTTTTTTTTTCTTTCAATATCGAAATAAGGAAACAAAAGGACTCCATTTATCAATTTAAGTTTTTCTGTCTGCCCTATTTGTAATTTAGGTTTGAAATGAAAGTTTCTTATTTACTTTTATTTTAGGCAAACCAGTCTATCTTCTTATTTGTGTTAGCTTTTTTCTTGTATAACATAGATGACTTTTGCTTTTTTACATTTGTTCCATCAATCTGAATTTTCCCATACTCTTTCTCTCTTTAGTCTCTTCCTCTGCTGATTCTACACACAGTTACTTCAACTATTCATTATATAGAAGAGGTTTTCAGGTTCCTATTTTCTCCCTTCCTCTATCAATCAATTGTCTACAAGCTTTCCAGATAAATGTTATTCTGCACTGATAACTTGAATTATTAAGTGGTTTTAAATGTGGCCTCTTTAAATTTTTTTGTTTTCTCTTCAAAATAACAGGCATCTTGGGTCAGAATTGTATAAAGAAATGCAGTGAAGTAAATGCAGTATTTGGAAAACCATTATTAAATAGCTAGGATGGAATAATTAATTCAATTTTAAGGAAAAAGTGAGGTATTAAATTTCAATATACTATAGTTTGTGTTGATAAGAGAATTTCTAGGTAGATATTGGTTTAGAGTTTCTAAAATTACTTTTCCCTGTTATCCAAGACAAAGTATTTTATATATATATATTTTAATGATAATTTAAAATATTTCCAATCCTTTAGCCTCACCCTGTGATCCCACTTTCATCCTGGGCTGTGCTCCCTGCAATGTGATCTGCTCTGTTATTTTCCATAATCGATTTGATTATAAAGATCAGAGATTTCTTAACTTGATGGAAAAATTCAATGAAAACCTCAGGATTCTGAGCTCCCCATGGATCCAGGTGAGATCATGAGCTTCTCTTCCTGAGATATTATTTTTCTTATTTTATCAGACATTTGAAAATTTTTTTAATTTTTAAAAATTATACTTTAAGTTCTGGGATACATGTGCAGAATGGGCAGATTTGTTACATAGGTATACATGTGCCATGGTGGTTTGCTGCACCCATCAATCTGTCATCTACATTAGGTATTTCTCCTAATGCTATCCCTCCCCTTACCCCCTACCACCCAACAAGCCCTGGTGTGTGATGTCCCCCTCTCTGTGCCCATATGTTCTCATTGTTCAACTCCCACTTATGAGTGAGAACATGTAGTGTTTGGTTTTCTGTTCCTGTGTTAGTTTGCTGAGAATGATGGTTTCCAGCTTCATCCATGTCCCTGCAAAGGACGTGAACTCTCTCAGCGTCTGCTTGTCTGTAAAGGATTTTATTTCCCCTTCACTTATGAAGCTTAGTTTGGCTGGATATGAAATTCTGGGTTGAAAATTCTTTTCTTTAAAAATGTTGAATATTGGCCCCCACTCTCTTCTGGCTTGTAGGGATCTGCACAGAGATCTGCTGTTAGTCTAATGGCCTTCCCTTTGTGGGTAACCTAACCTTTCTCTCTGGCTGCCCTTGACATTTTTTCCTTCATTTCGTCCTTGGTGCATCTGATGATTATGTGTCTTTGGGTTGTTCTTCTCCAGGAGTATCGTTGTGATGTTCTCTGTATTTCCCAAGTTTGAATGTTGGCCTGTCTTGCTGGGTTGGGGAAGTTCTCCTGGATAATATCCTGAAGTGTGTTTTCCAGCTTGGTTCCATTCTCCTGTCACTTTCAGATACACCAATCAAACATAGGTTTGGTCTTTTCACATAGTCCCATATTTCTTGGAGGCTTTCTTCATTCCTTTTCATTCTTTTTTCTCTAATCTTGTCTTCTCACTTTGTTTCATTAAGTTGATCTTCAATCTCTGATATCCTTTCTTCTGCTTGATAGATTTGGCTATTGATACTTGTGTATGCTTCATGAAGTTCTTATGCTTTGTTTTTCAACTCCATCAGGTCGTTTATGTTCTTCTCGAAACTGGTTATTCTAGTTAGCAATTCCTCTTTTTATCAAGGTCCTTAGTTTCCTTGCATTGGGTTAGAACATAATCCTTTAGCTTGGAAGAGTTTGTTATTACATATCTTCTGAAGCCTACTTCTGTCAATTTGTCAAACTCATTCTCCGTCCAGTTTTGTTCCCTTGCTGGCGAGAAGTTGTGATCCTTTGGAGGAGAAGAGGCATTCTGGTTTTTGGAATTTTCAGCCTTTTTGTGCTGGTTTTTCCTCATCTTCATGGATTTATCTACCTTTGGTCTTTGCTGTTGGTGACCTTCGAATGGAGTTTTGCGTCATCATCCTTTTTGTTGATGGTATTGCTTTCTGTTTGTTAGTTTTCCTTCTGTCAGGCCCTCTTCTGCAGGTCTGCTGGAGTTTGGTAGGGGTCCACTCTAGACACTGTTTGCCTGGGTATCACCAGCGGAGCCTGCAGAATAGCAAAGATTGCTGCCTGCTCCTTCCTCTGGAAGCTTTATCCCAGTGGGGCACCAGCCAGATGCCACCCAGAGCTCTCCTGTATGACATGTCTGTTGACCCTTGCTGGGAGGTGTCTCCCTGTCAGGAGGCTCAGGGTCCAGGGACCCACTTGAGGCAGTCTGTCCCTTAGCAGAGCTTGAGTGCTGTGCTGGGAGATCTGCTGCTCTCTTTAGAACCATCAGGCAGAAACATTTAAGTCTGCTGAAGCTGTCCCCACAGCCACCCCTTCCCCCAGGTGCTCTGTCCCAGGGAGAGGTAGTTTTATCTATAGGCCCCTGACTGGGACTGCTGCCTTTCTTTCGGAGATGCCCTGCCCAGAGAGAAGTCTAGAGAGGCAGTCTCGCTACAGGGGCTTTGTGGTGCTGCGGTGGGCTCTGCCCAGACTCAACTTCCCAGAGGCTTTGTTTACACTGTGAGGGGAAAACCGCCTACTCAAATCTCATTAATTGTGGACACCCCCCACTCCCATCAAGCTCGAGCATCCTAGGTGGACTTCAGACTGCTGTGCTGACAGTGAGAATTTCAAGCCAGTGGATCTTAGCTTGCTCAGCCCCATGAGTGTGGGATCCTCTGAGCTAGACAACTTGGTTCCCTGGCTTCAGCCCCATTTCCAGGGGAGTGAATGGTTCTGTCTTGCTGGAATTCAGGCGCCATTGGGGTATGAAAAAAGACTTCTGCAGCTAGCTTAGTGTCTGCCCAAATGGCCACCCAGTTTTGTGCTTGAAACCCAGGGCCCTTGTGGTGTAGGCACCTGAAGGAATCTCCTAGTTTGCGTGTCGCAAAGACCATGGGAAAAGTGTAGTATCTGGACCAGATAGCACTGTCCCTCACAGCTTCCCTTGGCTAGGGGAGGGAGTTCCCCGACCTGTTGTGCTTCCCAGGTGAGCCAATTCCCTACCCTGCTTCTGTTTGCCCTCCGTGGGCTGTACCCACTGTCAAACCAGTCCCAATGAGATGAACCAGGCACCTCAGTTGGAAATGCAGAAGTCATTGGCCTTCTACATTGGTCTCGCTGGGAGCTCCAGACTGGAGCTGTTCCTGTTTGGCCATCTTGCCCCAATCCCAGTCCAAAACTTTGTATGTACCAAGCTGTGAAGTGAATGTTTGAAAACTGGAAATTTTGGATACTGTTATGCAGTAACTCTGGAAATCAGAGTCTTTCCTCTCCTTAGGGTGTTTTGTTGCCTGCTATAGTTTTTTTTTTCTTCTGAAGGCTATATCTTTCTTTAGTGACTTTTCAAAACTATTTTTGCAAATCATGTGTGGTTTCTGAAGTCTTTTCTTCAGCTTATGTTCAGATAGTTTTGACAGAAATTTTCTTAAATGTGGAGAGGCAAAAAAGAGACATAGAAAAAATATATGTATTTATATATATATAAATAGTAGAAGAAAGATAGAAGGAAGTAAGGAAAGAAATGAAGGAAGGAACGAAGGAAGGAAAGAAGGAAAGGAGGGAAGGAGGCAGGCTAGTCTTTCAGATTGGTTGGGGCACTCCTTGTCATAGCCTTCACTTACTGTTGAGCCTGGATATCAGCCAGAGGTGAAAGTTCAGGATCTTCTCACGTTTTTCTAATTAGCCTGTCCTGCTCTGGGCATGTTGATAACTTTCTAAATTTCTTAGTATACATAGGCACTTTTGAACATCCCAGTTTTCCAAAGAAACTGTCTCTCAGCTTTTATTTTCAGGATTTTAGTGCTGTACTGTGTGCCTCAACTGTTATCATTTGCCCCAGGTAGCTTTGGGTTGTTCATTTGTCTTAGAAGGTTTTTGAGAAATGGCCATTGCTTTTCCATCCTGAATGAATTTTGAATCAGGTGAAACAAAGTTGAGTGCCTCATGTTAGCCCATGGTAGTCCTCAGACAGGTGAGAAAGAGAAACATACTTTTTTGCAAGTAAGGTCTTCTGTGGTCTCTCTGGAACCAGGAACCAGGGTCCTCCACTGGGAACAGGGCTACCCTTGACAAGATCACTGCCAAGCTGATGACAGAGGTGGGACAAGAGCAAATAAACATACCACAAAGCTTATGTAGCCATAAGCCATACTATGTAGCCATAAATACTTCATCATCATGGAATACTATGTAGCATAAAAAGGAATGAGATTATGTCCTTTCCAGGGACATGGGTGGAGCTGGAGGCCATCATCATCAGCAAACTAATGCAGGAGCAGCAAACCAAACACCGCATGTTCTTACTTATAAGTGGGAACTGAACAATGAGAACACATGGACACAGGGAGGGGAACAACACACTAGGGCCTGTTGGGGGGTTGGGGAAGGGAGAGCATTAGGAAAAATAGCTAATGTGTGCAGGGCTTAATACCTAGGTGATGAGTTTATAGGTGCAGCAAACTACTGTGGCATACATTTATCTATGTAACAAACCTGCACATCCAGCACATGTACCTTGGAACTTAAAATAAAAATAAACCCACAAAGCTTTTCTACTATTTTTAAGTTGCCATTTTCTTTATTCAGCTTTCTCTTGATTGCTGTAAACCTTTGACTGATTTCCAGAGTTCTGTTAAAGTTGATTCTGACTTTTTTGTTTGAAGTTTTGGGTGTTTTCATGGAGAGATGGGCCCATGGAACTGTCTTTTGTGCCAATTTTGTAGGCATTATTACTCTGTGAAGTGAGTGGTTGAACACTACAGCTTGTCCATATCTTAGCATTGTGGCATTAACATCTGGGAAAGATAGATGATTTCTTTATTTTACAGACAAGAAAAGAAATGCCTGAATATAGAGCTGGAATTCAAGCCCATTAGCTAGTGTTTTTTTTTTTCCACCAAACCCCCAAATCCAGTTTCTGGCAGTACTTTGGTGACTGTCCAAAAGCACACACTCAATGGAAATCCAAGTCCCTTGTTGAAAAGCTGGCATTACTCACAGGCTTTTCCTCTAATTCACAGCTAGAGACCTCTTCATCACATTATTTGGCTAAAGGGGAGAATGTTTGGGAGCACAGATTCTACCAGGAAGTTCTGAATAGGATAGGGGTGTTTGCTGCTTCAGCAAGGCAATTAAGGTTAAGATGACAAAATGATTGGGTTTTGGGGTGTATGAATCATTAAAAAATTACAGTTTTGCCCTGTGCTGAGCTAGCGTATTCCAAACTCTGTCTAAAAGATAATTGTGTGATTATCTTAACTACTCACGGAAGTATCTTAACTACTCTGGTGTACGGGTACTTATCCATAAAATGCTGAATTACATTTTATGGTATCTTTGTACCCCTCCCAGTTACAAAAGAGTGATTCTATTTCTGAGGCTTCCTGCTAGGAGTAGAAATAGCAGGGAACAGCTCTGTGGTCTATTTCATGTTATTCAAATTTCCTTAACCTCTGTTCTTATCTGCAAAATGGGAATTAAAGCAATTCATGTAATTCTATATTTCAAGGCTATAGAGAAAAATTAATGTAAAAAATGAGATAATTGACATGAAGATATTTTAATATTCTGAAAACAATATATGAGTATAGGAAATTATCATCTTTGATCCCTTGTTGAGAATTTTCTAACTTAAATCTTTCAGTATAGAAGACTACTTTGTACGTACACTCAAATGCTCCTCTTAAAGAGGGAGACAATTTTTAAAAATTTACTTCAGTTTTAAACCAGCAGTTAACTTATGGTATATGTCTTCAATACATGTGTTTAATTTAATTAATTTTAAAAAATCTTTAAGGTCTGCAATAATTTCCCAGCTCTCATCGATTATCTCCCAGGAAGTCATAACAAAGTAGTTAAAAATTTTGCTTATGTTAAAAGTTATGTTTTGGAGAGAATAAAAGAACATCAAGAATCCCTGGACATGGACAATCCTCGGGACTTTATTGATTGTTTCCTGATCAAAATGGAACAGGTAAAATGTTACTTGTTTGCCTACATCTTGTGGTTCATTGATTAGTTCTATAATGATTGCTTAAATGGTGAGGCAAGAAACTCTTCACGATCACTTTAAGTACTTATTATGAGTATGGATCTGGGTGAAGCACCATGGAGAATTTATAATTGAATTGTTAAACAATTAGAATATGTGAGCAATATTTTTAGGTACTAATAATTTATCTGAGGAAAGACGGAATGCATGCCTCAGATGAAAAGGAAATACAAATAAGTTAGAAAATGCAAAATATATAGTCATAAATTGAAAGTGGGCATGGTCATATCACACAGCATATGGGAGAGTTAGGTGAAAGGCTTTAACCTAAATGGGCCTCCTGCATGTCCTGATGTTTGGTGTAAATCTTAAAATATTTACAATGAATAACGATGCAGTCAATTTTTTAGTGTGCAGAACAGTGTGATGAGAGGTTCAGAGGTGTGTGGTGGCAAAGAGACAGAGAAGGGAGGCCTTAACTGAATGGAACCAAAAGTAAATCTGGACACATATGGAATTGGAGGTGTCTAACCTGCAGACCTGAATGCTAGCATGGAGAGTTTTGATTTGATCAGGTATATGTGTGAGCCCTAACAAGAGTGGGATGCATATAATTATTAGAGAAAATAATCCTAGGAGTTGTGTAGAAGGATATGTACAATGAGAATGGAGGTCAAAAACTTGCTACAAGACTTTTCATATCTTTGAATTTCAGCTTGCTGAAAGTGTGGGCTACAGAAACACAGATTCTGAAATAAAATCAAGTTGTCCATTTTGTCATATTGCCAAAAATCTGTAGATATTAGTTTCAGTTAGAGGATCAGATAGGAGCCAAATGATGAATAATAGTGGTAGGGTCAATATGGAAACTGAGAAGGGTAATATAGATACCCTCAGGACACTAAGGTGCAAAGTACTCTTTGAACTGAGAAGTGGCCCAATCCAGAACAAACTGAAAAGAGTTAACTCTAGAAAAGAAAATTCTTGTGAGGTCACCATTATTTTATTCAACCACTTTACAACACTGGGTGGAAATGAAGAATCAGCCAGTAGGTGAAAATGGCACGGAGTCAAAGATGCTAATGAAGGTGACTTTCATGAAATTGCCCATGGAATGTTAGCAGGACTGCTCGAATAATGTGTTCTAGATAGAGTGAAGTGAAGAAGATGAGATACTTTGAGGAAACTGGAGAAGGGAAGAAGCAAATTATTCTTACTGTCCACCTTCTCTACTGCTAGTTCAATGGTTCTGGGATCTAATTAATTTGAGAATCTCATTAAAATGTGGACACTTTGCCAGAAAAATGAAACTGTATGAGTTCTCCATTTTTGTACACATTTAGAGGGCTTTCCTTAATGCTATGAATCCTCTCCGTTAATTCCAGGTTAAGGAGAACTGTAAGGTCTATGGTGTTTCAGTGACCAGTGGCTATGTCCTCATTACTGTATTTAAAAAGTGTGTTGTTCCTTTGACCTCACTATAATATTTAGAATCTAGCTTATTTTATTTTTTATAACATTTTTATTGATGTTACATATTGTACCCTCATACATTTTAAATACAATTCAATAGTTTTAGTATTTGTCACAGAGCTGTGCAGCCACCACCACAATCAATTTCAGAACATTTCCATCATCCTGAAAAGAAAACCATATGCTTAACAGTCACCCCATATTGGGGTGGCTCTAGGCAATCTAATATACTTTTTCTCTCTATAGATTTGCTATTCTGGACATTTCATATACATGAAATTACACAGTATGTGGTCTTTTTTGTCTGACTTCTGTCACTTAGCACAATGTTTTCAAGATTCATTGATGTAGCATATATCAGTACCTCATTCCTTTATATAGACAAATAATATTTGGGTGTGGCTATATCATATTTTATATTTCCATTCATTAGTTGATGGTTTTGATTGTTTCTGTTTTGGCTGTTATGAATAATGTTGGTATGGACATTTGTGTACAAGATTTTGTGTATAGATAAGTTTTTATTTCTCTTGGGTATATACTTGGCTGTGGAATTGCTGGATCATGCAGCAATTGTATGCTTAATCTTTGAGAAACTGTGGCTGGATCAAAGACCTAAATGTAAGAGCTAAAAATATAAAACTCTCAGAAGAAAACCTAGGCATGAAATTTGCTGCACCATTTCGTATTCTCGCTACAATGTTTTGAGGGTTCCACTTTCTCCACAACATTGCTAATGCTTCTTATCTTTTTGATTCCAGCCATCCCAGTGGGGTGAGGTGGTTCCATGTGGTTTGGTTTGCATTTTCCTGACACGAAATAATCTTTTCTCTTGGTTATTGTTCATTTGTATTTGTCTTTGGAGAAAAATATATTCAGATCTTTTGTCCATTTTAAAATTAGGTTATTATATTTTTGAAATTATTGAGATGGAAATGTTTTTGTATATTCTAGATAAAAGTCCCTTATCAGATGTTATTTAAAGATATTTTCTCCCATTTTGTCAAGTGTCTTTCACTTTCTTAATAGTGTCTTTTGAAATACAAGTTTTTAATTTTTGTGAAATCCAATTTATTTGCTTGGTTTCTTACAATTTTCTTGTCATGTTTAAGAAATGATTACTTAGTCCAATATCACAAAGATTCACCCCAAGTTTTCTTCTAATGGTTTTATAAGTTTAACTTTTACATTTGGGTCTAAGATCCATTCTGAGTCAATTTTTGGTTATAGTGTGAGGTGTGGGTAGAACTTCATTCTTTGCATGTGCATATTCAGTTGTCCTAGTACCATTTGTTGAAAAGACATTCATTCCCCATTGAGTGACCATGGTACATTTGTTGAAATCAGTTGACTACAAACACAAGGATTTATTTTTAGACTCTCAATTCTATTTCATTGATGGCTTTCTTTATGCCAGTATGACAGTACTTTTTTTTTTTTTTGAGACAGGGTCTCACTCTGGTTGCCCAGGCTGTAGTGCAGTGGCATGATCTTGGCCTCTACCTCCTGTGCTCAGGTGATTCTCCCACATCAGCCTCCTGAGTAGCTGGGATTACAGGCATGTGCCACTACAGCCAGCTAATTTATTGTATTTTTAGCAGAGACAGGGTTTTGCTATTTTGTCCAGGCTGGTCTCCAACTACTGGCCTCAAGCGGTCTGCCTGTCCTGGCCTCCCAGATTGCTGGGATTACAGAAGTAAACCATGCACCTAGATGATGGTAGCTTTTATGTAAGTTTTCAAATTGGAAAGTGTCAGTTCTCCAATTTTGTTCTTTCCCAAGATTGTTTTGGTTCTTAGCTATTTTGGTTATGTAAAGTTCCACATGAATTTTATGGTAATCTTGTCAATTTCTATTAAAAAGATCGCAAATATTTTGATATGGATCACTTTGAATCTGTAGATCAATTTGGGAAGTAATGCCATTTTAACAATATTAAGTCTTCCAATAGATGAACACGGGATGTCTTTCCATTTATTTAGGTCTTCTTTAATTTCTTTTAACAATGTTTTTTATCAACTAGCTTAATTTTGATAGGCTATTTGTACATAACCGCTGATTTTTCAAATTCACTTAAGCAGATGGAAATATTACTATTGGTTTACAAGTGCTCTACTCTCCTTCCTGGCCTTGGTGTAATTTTGAGTTGATAAGCTTAGAAAACTGTGTTAAGTTTCTAAATGTTACCAATGGGCATGATGACCTTTGTCTGGCAAGTACATCTGTTGAGAGGATTTGGTTTGTCTTGCTGTGGTTGATTACATAATATTAGGCATGCCACAGGTAACATGGAGATTATAACAACCTTATTAAATTAATGCTGTTCTAGAGGATTGAATAGGAAGAAATCATTTTTTGTATGTTAATTACTCCCTGTAATCAGTATTTTAAACTGTCCCATTGTTATGGTCAATTTTGTGTTACATATTTCCCTCATCTTAAACCAGCCTTAGTTGCCTTGTGAAGTGCTTTGTTCTTCCACTCTCCATTTTATTATTAATGGCATAAACTGCAATTACTTTTTCACCAACCAAATATAAGAACTCAATTCATTCAGTCCCTTGTCCTAAGCATCTCCATTGCCCTTACTCTCTCCTTCATCCTGTATAGGTGGTTAATGTCTAAACTCTCTGTCTTCATGTCTGTAGTGTCTCTTCAATTTCTATATTCTTATTCATTGCTGTGCTTGTTTACTAGGTCAAGTTGATTATTACCTCACATCTGGAATACAATAATGGCTGGCCCCACCTTGTCTTGTCAATCTGTTCTCTTTCTCCATAATTTTGGATATTCTACCATGTTATCTTTTGCACATTTCCAAGTTCATAATAAGTCTGCAGGTAATATTGAGTCTAACTAAATTCTTTTTTTTTTCTCAGAGTTTTGCTCTGTTACCCAGGCTGGAATGCAGTGGCATGATTGTGGCTCACTGTAGTTTGACCTCTTGGACTCAAGTGATCCTCCCACCTCAGCCTCCCCAGTAGTTGGGACTGCAGGTGCACACCACCATGCCCAGATAATTAAAAATTTGTTTTTATAGAGATAGGGTGTCACTGTGTTTGCCCAGGCTGGAGTGGACCTCCTGAACTCAAGCAATCCTCCTGCCTCAGCCTCCCACAGTGCTGGGATTTAAGGCGTGAGCCACTGTGCCCAGTCTAAATTACTTATAATTCCTAATACAATGTAAATGGTTGTTATACTATATTTTTTAGGGAACAATGACAAGAAAAAAGTCTGTATATGTCCAATACAAACACTTTTATTTTCCGAATTTTATTCTTTTTTGTTTTAGAGGCAGAATCTTGTCCCGTTGCCCAAGCTGTTGTGGAGTGGTATGACCATAGCTCACTGCAGCCTGGAACTCCTGGGCTCAAGCAATTCTTCCACCTCAGCCTCCTGAGTATGTGGGACCACAGGTGCATGCCACCATGCCCAGCTAATTTTGTTTTTTTGTAGAGAGAGGGTCTTTCCATGTTGCCTAGGCTAGTCTTGCACTTCTGGGCTCAAGCAATCCTCCATCTTGGCCTCCCAAAGTGCTGGGATTACAGACATGAGCCACCTCTCCTGGCCTCTTTTTCCAATTTTTTTTTTTTTTTTTGATTTAAGGTTGGTTGAATCAATAGATGTGATATCCATGGATAGGAAGGTGGATTGTACTCTATTATTACCTATATTCAACTGGCTGTGCAATTTATTATTTTTTAAAAGAGAGATCAGATTTTCTCCTCCATTCTAACTGAGGCTTTATAGCCTTTGACTATCATCTCCCCTTTTCCCCCAACCCCCAAGCCCTCTGGCAATCAGTATTCTACTCTCTTCTATGAGTTCGGTTGTTTTAGATTCCACATATAAGTGAGAATATATGGTATTTGTTTTCCTGTTCCTGACCTGACTTATTTAACTTAGCATAATGTTCTGCAGTTCCATTCCTGTTATCACAAATAACAGAATTTCTTCATTTTTAAGACTGAATAGTATTCTATTGTATATATATGCCACATTTTCTTTATTTATCTATTGATGGACACTTAGGCTGATTCTATATATTAGCTATTGGGAATCGTGCTGCAGTTTACATGGGAGTGCAGACATCTCTTTGACATACTGATTTCAAATCTTTTGAGTAAATGTCCATAAACCAAATTGCTGGATCATGTAATTCTATTTTTAGTTTTTTGAGGAACCTTTTACTGTTTTCCATAATGGTTGCACTAACTTACATTCCCATCAACAGTGCACAAGTGTTTCCCTTTTTCCATATCTTCACCAACACTTGTTTTTTTTCTCTTTGATAATTGCCATTCTAACAGATGTGAGGTGATATCTCACTGTTTTTAATTTGTAACTTTCTAATGATTAGTGTTGAGCATCTTTTTCATGTATCTCTTAATCACTCATATGTCTTCTTTTTAGAAATATTCAGGTGATTTGCCCATTTCTTAATTGGATTATTTATTTTCTTTCTATAGAGTTAAGTTCCATATATATGATCGTGTGTGTGTGTGTGTGTATATATATATAGGTTTTTTTTGAGACAGAGTCTTACTCTGTTGCCCAGGGTGGAGTGGAGTGCAGTGGTGCAATCTCGGCTCACTGCAGCCTCTGCCTCCTCGGTTCAATAGATTCTCCTGCCTCAGCCTCCCAAGTAGCTGGGATTAGAGGCATGCACCACTACACCTGGCTAATTTTTAAATTTTTAGTAGAGATGTGGGTTTCACCATGTTGGCCAGGCTGGTCTCGAACTCCTGACCTTGGGTGATCCACCTTCCTTGGTCTCCCAAAGTGATGGCATTACAGGTATGAGGCACCGCTCCCAGCCCTCTTATATATTTTGGATATTAATCCCTTATTAGATATAGGGCTTACAAATACTTCTCCTAATCCATACGTTGTCTCTTCACTCTGTTTTTTCCTTTGCTGTGCCGAGGCTTTTTAGTTTGACTTAATCCCATTTGTCTATCTTTGCTTTTGTTGCGTCTGCTTTAGGGGTAAAATCTAAACAATTATTGCCCAGATCAATGTCCTGTAGTTTTTCTTCAATCTTTTCTTCTAGTAGTTCACAGTTTCTGGTGTTATATTTAAGTCTCATGTTGAGTTGCTTGAGTATATGGTGTGAGATAAGCATTCAATTTTATTTAGCATATGGATATCCAGTTTTCTCACCATTTGTTTAAGAGATTGTCCCCTTTCCATTGCATATTCTTGGTACCTTTGTCTAAAATCAATTGTAGTGGCATGAGTTCTTTTCTGGCCCTCTATTGTATTCTGTTGGTTGATGTATCAATTTTTATGCCAGTACCATGCTGTTTTAATTACTATTAATTTGTAGTACAGCTTGAAATCAGGTAATGTGATGCCTCCAGCTTTGTTCTTTCTACTAATGATTGCCTTGGCTATTTGGGTATTTTTTTGGTTCTATATGAAGTTTTTTGGAATGACTTTTCCTGTATCTATGAGAGATAACATTGGAATTTTGATAGAGATTTCGATGAAACTGTAAATTGCTTTAGATAGTATGGACATTTTAATAATATCAACTCTTCCAATCCATGTATATGGTATCTCTTTTTAATTTGTGTCTTCTTCATTTTTTAATTTTTATATTTTTCAGTGACTTTCACTTTTTTGGTTAAATTTACTCCTAAATACTTTATTTCTTTGATGCGATTGTAAATGGGATTGCTTTTAAAATTTCTTTTTCATATCATTTGTTGTTAGCGTGTAGAAACACTATCAATTTTTGTGTGTTGATTTTGTATCCTGCAACTTTACTGAATTTAATTATCAGTTCTAAGAGTTTTTTGATGATGTGTTTAAGATTTTCTGTATGTAAGATCATGCCATCAGCAGAGACAATTTTACTTCTTTTCTTATTTGGATGTCTTTCATTTACTTTTCTTGTCTCATGCTCTGGCTAGTACTTCCCATACTATGTTGAATTAAAGTAGTGAGAGTGGGCATCCATATCTTTTTCCTGATCTTACAGGAAAATCCTTCAACTTTTCAGTATTGAATATGAGGTTAGCTGTGCACTTGTCATATATGGACTTGTGTTGAGGCTAGTTAGAAGCTCCACTGTCAGGAGCAGCAATTTACAGAACATGCTAATAAGTCTCATCTAGGCAGAAACTTGGACTTTTGAGCTTCGTCCCTTTCTCTGCCCTGATCCTAGAGAATTAAACCTCTGGAAGTGCTTGTTTGCCAATATAATACTGGTACTTTTTCTGGTGGTCTAGAGAGAGACTCCTGCATACTTAGCCCTCTCTGCTCCCAGAGTTGGTAAGTTAAGTGGATAGCTGTGGGGAACCTTAGAGTTAGGGTGTTAATGTGTGGTCTAAACCCTCTTTTCCCCAGGGAGAAGCTGAATGTTGGGGATTCCTTCTCAATTGTATGGTGTAGTGCCTGGGTGAGGTTGGTGCTGTAGCTTTTTCTTCCCAGTCTATGTGGATTTTTTTTTTGTTGTTGCCCCGTATATAGAAGTCTCTCAACTTGTTTCCGACTTTCTCTCAGAGGGAATTGATCTGTGAATGGATATTTATTTTGTGTATCCTTGGGTGGAAGGAGAGACTGGAGCCTCCTATTCTGCAATGTCACTATTGTGACACTGAGAACTGCAAAACCCTTGATTCTGGTTTATAATGTATTTATGTCTCTAATTTACTTACTTCTATTTCTAGCAATTAATATTGTGTGTATACAAATAAGAAAAAAAAACCAATTAACATGGCTTAAACAAATAATGTGTTTATTTATTTCACATAAAGTGTGTCATGTTGGACAGTGCAGAACTAGTACTGTAGCCCTGAAGCATCCTAGAACCAGGTGCCTGCCATTTTTGATCCCCACACTTACAACACGAACCTTCATCTTGATTATTTTTTTTTTGAGACAGGATCTCTCTTTGCCATCCAAGCTGAAGAGCAGTGGCATGAACATGCTTCACTGCAGCCTTGACTTCCTGGGCTCATGTGATTCTCTGCATCAGCCTCCCTTGTAGCTGGGACCACAGATATGTGCCATTCACCTGTTTCATTTTTTGATTTTTTTTTTTTTTTTTGAGAAAGAGTTTCGCTTTATCACCCAGGATAGAGTGCAGTGCTGCAACCTTGGCTCACTGCAACCTCCATCTCCTGGGTTCAAGAGATTCTCGTAGCTCAGCCTCCCAAGTAGCTGAGATTACAGGCACATGCCATCATGCCTGGCTAATTTTTGTGTTTTTAGTAGAGACGATATTTTACCATGTTGCCCAGGCTGGTCTCAAACTCCTGACCTCAGGTGACCTGCCTGTCTTGGCCTCCCAAAGTGCTGGGATTACAGGCATAAGCCACCATGCCTGGCCAATTTTTTGAATTTTTTTTTTTTTTTTTAGAGCCAGGGAGTCTCACTTGCTGCCCAGGCTGGTGTCAAACTCCAGGACTCAAGTGATCCTCCTGCCTTGGCATCCCAAAGTGTTGGGATTACAGGCATGAGCCACCACAGATGGCTTTGTTATGATTCTTAAATACGCGTGTTCCAAGGTGATATCTATACCAACTCTACCTTCATATATGTGTTTTGAGTAAAAAGGAGAGAGAGAAAGTACCATGAGCAGGTACCTGCTTATGTGTCATAGACAAGAAATATGTTTCATGGCCAACACAGCTTCCACTTATAAGTGAGAACATTCTATACTTGGAAATATAATTTTTAGGCAAGCAATGGATAAGCAGGAATGGGAAATGAACTATTTTACATTCTCTGCAACACTGTGCAATTGTTGTAGTTTTAATACTGCACTCTGTAGTTTCCAAATTTCCTTATCTTTAGATCGACCTGATATATTTTGGATTTTTTGTAATTTCATATGCTGGCACACTATCAAATAATTAAATGATGAAATAATTTTTAGGAAAAGCACAATCTACAGTCTGAATTTACTATTGAAAGCTTGATAGCCACTGTAACTGATATGTTTGGAGCTGGAACAGAGACAACAAGCACCACCCTAAGATTTGGACTCCTGCTCCTGCTGAAGTACCCAGAGGTCACAGGTATGATGATACCATAGGTGAGCAGGGTGATTTTCAGAAAAGATGTTGGGAAGACACTGCTATTGTCCTCCATCTTGTTTCTCTTAGAGAAGCTTCATTATTGAAATTTCTGTGCCATTGGCTTTAAGTTGTCTAAATACGATGAAGGGGTGAGAATGAGATGAATTTGCATAACAGGGAAGAGGGACTGAGAGAGGTGAAGACAGTGTGATCACTAGCAAAAGTAATAAAGCCCTGGATTTAAGTGACTAAATACTCTGAATAAAGGGTCTAGATTTCATGGGAGAGGATTTGTAGCAGGCACAGACATGATGAATTGGCCTAGGATTATATGTTGGTTTTCTTAAGAACAGACTACTTTGTTGCAGTTTCTTTTTTGAAATGAGTAGAAATTTTATTTCACTAAAAACCATGTCTACAAAATTCCATTTTCCAGCAGAACAGACCACTTTGAGTGATAGATATGCTCTTTTTTTCTTTTTTTGAGACAGAGTCTCGCTCTGTCGTCCAGGCTGAAGTGCAGTGGTGCAATCTTGGCTCACTGCAACCTCCACCTCCCGGGTTCAAGTGATTCTCCTGCCTCAACCTCCCAAGTAGCTGGGATTACAGGTGTACCCACCATGCTTGGCTAATTATTTTGTATTTTTAGTAGAGACGGGGTTCCACCATGTTAGTCAGGCTGGTCTCGAACTCCTGACCTCAAATGATCCACCCACCTCAGCCTCCAAAAGTGCTGGGATTACAGGCATGTGCCACTGTGCCCAGCCATGTATGCTCTTACAGATCTTCCCTTATTCTGAAAATGTAGTGTTTTAATGCTGGAACAGTAAAGACAGAGACTTTTTATTTTTAATTTTTATTATTGGCAATTATTTTATGGTTGGTTTGATACCATTTTTTAATGTTTTGGTAAATTTCTATTTTTATAGACTTAGGGGTACAAGTGCAATTATGTTCATGAATATATTCCCTAATGGTGAAGTATGGGCTTTTAGTATACCCATCACCTGAATAGTGTACATTGTTCCCAATAGGTAACATTTCATCCCTCACCTCCCTCCCACCTTTCCACCTTTTGGAATCTCCAGTGTCTATTATTCCACTCTGTATGTCTCTGTGTACCCATTGTTTAGCTTCCACTTGTAAGTGAGAACGTGTGGTTTTTGACTTTCTATTTTGAGTCTTTGCACTTAGGATAATGGCCTCCAGTTCCATCCAGGTTGCCACAAAAGACATGATTTCATTCTTTTACATGGCTGAGTAGTAGTGCATGGTGTGAGTTTGTGTGTATGTGTGACACTACTGGATGCAGATTTTTAAACCCCACACGTAACTTTTTAAATCCAATCATCTGTTGATGGACACTTACGTTGATTTTATGAATTTGCCTTGGTGAATAGTGCTGCAGTAAACATATGAATGCAGATGTCTTTTTGATAAAATGATTTCTTTTATTTTGGATAGATACCCAGTAGTGGGATTGCTGGATCAAATGATAGTTCTATTTTTGATTATTTGGGAAATACTATTTATTGAAGTGTATAATGGATATTCTAGAAATTTGATGAGATAGCCTGAGAAAATCTGCATAGTCTGGGAAGTATTTTAAGCATGTAGCTGTATAATAAAGGTGTACGCTATTTAAGTAGAAAATGTGCCTGAGGAGTTTTATGATTATCAAAATTTGCACCTAGAAAAATGGTACTTGTCAATATTTTTTCTTAGGGTCAATAGTTTTATCTTTTACAAACAACTTTTTTTTTTTCCTTCAAATTTTGTATTTATCTATGAGCAGATTCTGGCTCTGCATAGCCTATTAGCCACACACTTGTTTTTCTGGGGTCAGAATCACACTGAAATGATGACAAATTTATTACATATGAGAATTACTCCTGTTAAGGTTAGAGTACAACTATCAAGTCTTTAACAAACTTCTGAGACACAGGGAGCAGATAGAAGGATGGTAACCAATTTGGCAGAGAGATTGAAGTTGCAACCTAAGGGCCACAAGAATTTGTGTTGCTATAGTCCCTGTAAGGCTGAGTATTCAAAAGAACAGAGACTCCCAAAGAACACAGAGGGAGAATAAGGCAGAAAACAGAAAATTCTCCCTGCCTAGATTCCCTCCACAACTCCATTTGTAAACTAATTGTTTTTTCCCCACAGAAAAGGGAGGTTCACTCTCTAGAGACACTGAACCTAAGAGGCTTACTCATAAACAACAGACAGAGACAGGGAAAGAGTGAGGGGTTAAGTAAGAGTCCACTTGAATTCTGAGGCCTTTAGCACCTTTCTGCATCTTGTTCCTAAAATTCAGCAGTCAGGTGTAAACTCCTGAGAATAAGTAGCACCAGTGGAAAGACCTCCATTTTTCACCATTTAGATAGAAAATGCTTACCAAATGTCCAGCAAAGTGAATGAAATGGAAAATATTCATCCAAGACACTAGGCCATGAAATTTTAGAACATCAGAGTTAAAGGGAAAGTGATAAAAACATTCAGAGATAAATTAGTTCACCTATAAAGGGTCAGGAATCAGAATGACATTAGAATTCTCAAGAGCAGCCGTCATCTTGTGTATTTATAGATAAAGAATATTTTCAGACCTGCAAGTGGGCAAAAAAATTTTATCCTTTGTGTTTATTTTCTTAGATACTAGAGAATATTTTCCATCTAAATATCTGAAACCAAGTCAGAGGAAGTCAGGGACTGCAGGTCTCAGGAGACTTCATGTAGGAGGATGGAAGTGTCAGGGAGGCTGCTGGACACCTGGCCTAGAAAACAAATGCTTTAGAATGGACCAGGTGGATAATGGAGGTGTGAGGGAAGACATTAAGGACAAAGAGAAGTTGATTGATTATTTGATTATTTTTAGTATTTAGAGAATTATTAGTGAGAGTTTGAAACATTTCTGAGCATTCGCAGTAATTCTAAATTGGCATAAAATTAGAATTGAAATAGATACACTTAAGTCCAAGAATATACAAAAAAGGAGACATAATTACAGCAGCCCCACTTGTGATCAATATTTATGAAATAATAATGATGTGAACATGAGTATTAATATAATACAAATGTGATATAAATACACTGGGGAAACTAGAGTAGGGGGAAGTGTGAGTGTGTGTGTGTGTTTCTGTTTGTGCGTGTGTGTCTATTTGTTATGGGTTGGTGATGGAGAAAGTCCTCATCTTTCTTACCATGAAATTTTAGAAATTTTCTAAAAATAAATTTAAAAAATCAAAAGAGAGTCATTATTTAGAAATATGAATATAAATTTCAGAAGAAACTTCTAGAATGTTTCAGCATGGCCACCTTTGTGGAGTGTGAGGATGAGAGAGAATATCATTTCAAGTTTCAAATAAACATATGCACACAATACACAAATCTGCCCATACATATAGATCTGTTAGTAGAATTAAAGTTTTAAAACGTTATATATTATTCTGATACAACATTAATTTGATTTTTTTCTTTCTTCAAGAACAGTAATTTCTTGAGTTTATAATATACTAAATATTTATATTTTGAAGCATTTTATCATTTATATTTGTACTGATTATCCTGTATGCTAATATGTAGGTGGTTACAGATTTATCTTAATACTTAGCTTGTAGCAGAGTTAGATGTATCTATAATGTAGTAATTTCTTCTCTAAGTCTAGGTGTACTTTCAGTCCTATAATTTAAGTTTATAATGATGTCGGGACCCCTTCATTATGCTTCTTGTAACCTGAATTGCTACAGCAAATGTGCCATTTTTGTCCTTTTCCATCATTTCTTACTTGTGTCTTACCAGCTAAAGTCCAGGAAGAGATTGAATGTGTGGTTGGCAGAAACCGGAGCCCCTGCATGCAGGACAGGAGTCACATGCCCTACACAGATGCTGTGGTGCACGAGATCCAGAGATACATTGACCTCATCCCCACCAACCTGCCCCATGCAGTGACCTGTGATGTTAAATTCAGAAACTACCTCATCCCTAAGGTAAGTTTGTTTCTCCTACACCTCCATGCTCTTGAAGTCCCCAGATTCATAGTATGGTCCCAATCCTCTAACAACACGTGATGAGAGACATGTAAAATTCATGCTTGGGGCAGCTTTCTGGACTCTGCTGTTTCCATTCCAGTTTGTTCCTATGAAGGTTTATAACAGTTCTCAGTATCTAGCAGTTTATGTCTTCCAAATTTGTTCTGCTTCTGTAATAATTTTTTGTGGCTATTCTCAGGTGTTTACATTTCCAAATAAATGTTTAAAGTATCAATTTGTCAATTTCCCAAAACACTGTGCTGGGATTTTTATCATGGTGACATTAAATCTTTAGATCAATTAAGAAAGAATTGAGGTCCTGACAGGTTGAATCTTTCAATTCATGGATATGATTATGCTCTTAATTTATTTGGACTTTCTTCTATTTTGTCAGTAATGTTTTGTCTTCAGTTCAGTGGCTTTCACATGTATTATATTTTTTTCTGAAATAAATGATATTTTGATGTAATTGTAAGTTGTGTATATAATATATAATAGTAAATATGTAATATATAATATAAAATAAATATATATAATATTAAAAATATTTTCAAAACAGAGTCTTGCTATGTTGCACAGATTGATCTTCTGGCTCAAGAAATCCTCCACCTCATCCTCTTAAGTAGCTGGGATTAGAGATGTGTGCCACTGCACCTGGCTTTTAAATAATATACTCAAAAAAATGCCTTTTCCATTTCTTTGTTTCTGGCACATGGAAATATAATTGATTTTATTATTTTGATGATCTTACATCAAGCAAATTTACTTAGCATTGCTAATGTTTTGTTTGTAAATTTATTTGTAATTTCTATGTATCCTGTGATCTGTTTTAATATTTATTTCTTATTTTTCAATTCTTATAACTCAATTTTATCTTTATTGCTTTATTTCACGGTTAGGATTTCCAGGACAGTGTTGAATAATTCATGATGGTGGGCATCCTTGTTTCATGTATGATGTTCAGGATGAGTGGAGGTTTAACATCTCACCAGTGAGAACAATGTTTTATGTATATTTTTGTAATTAAAAAATCAGATTAGAGAAGGTTGCCTTCTCCTACTTTTGATGATTTTTTTCTGGTCATGAATGTTTATACAATTTGATCAAATGGAGTCTCTGCATCAATTAATATGGCCATATATTTTGTCTTGCATATACATATAATATATATATTAGTTAAAATACACACAAATGCACACACAGAGACATACACAGCTGGATTTTATTCGCTACATTTTTTTCAGGTTGTTTGAACTTATATTTATAAGAGACATCAGTTTGCAATTTTTCTTCCTCAAAATTTTCTTGTCAGATTTCTGATATTGAGGAAATGTTGGCTTTATAAAATAAGGAAGATAATGTTCCCTATTATGATTGTTTTTATAACCTTTTCTCACTCTCTATTCTTTTTGTGCTCACTTAGTTCTGTCTTTGGAGTGACTCATAAGTTTTGGTTAAGTGCCAGTTATGACATATGAAAAAATGCAGAACGTCAGATGAAGTTCATCTTCTTCCAGAAAGGGTTCATCCCTCCTGTGCTAGGCAGACAGAATTATGCAACACCTTCTACCTTCATTCAGAATTAGATATGAACACGGTTGAAAAATTTTTTTTTTCAATTTTTTTATTATACTTTAAGTTCTGGGATACATGTGCAGAATGTGCAGTTTTGTTACATAGGTATACACGTGCCATGGTGGTTTGCTGCACCCATCAACCTGTCACCTACATTAGGTATTTCTCCTAATGTTATCCATCCCTTAGGCCCCCCCCCAACCCCCTACAGGCCCTGGTGTGTGATGTTCCCATCCTGTGTCCTTATTGTTCAACTCCCACTTATGAGTAAGAAAATGCGGTGTTTGGTTTTCTGATCTTGTGATAGTTTGCTGAGAATGATCGTTTGCAGCTTCATCCATGTCCCTGCAAAGGACATGAAATCATCTTTTTAATGGTTGCATAGTATTCCATGGTGTACGTGTCACATTTTCTAAATCCAGTCTATCATTGATGGACATTTGGATTGATTCCAAGTCTTTGCTATTGTGAATAGTGCCACAATAAACATATGAAACACAGTCAGAAATTGACTGTAGCCATCAGCTGACCTCTCTGAGGTTCCCCTATGTCTGCAACCCTGAGTAATTTTTGTCTCAGCAGCTTTTCCAGTGCCTTCTAACACATGGCTTCTGTGTTTACTGAGACTTTTTAGTTGCTATGCTGCAAGTTGCTCCATTCCACTTGAAGCAAGTACATTATGCCATTATAAAGAAATAAAATAACAAAAATTTAACTTTGAGAGGAAAAAGGATTGGAGTTTGTTAAGGATGAAGTCACTATTGCCATCTTATAGGGAAGAGGGAATTCTGAATGTCTGTATTGTGCCGTGTGGAATCCACTAGACACAGGTACCTATTGAGCACTGGAAATGTAATGAATGCAACTAAGGAACTGGAATTAACATTTTATTTAGTTTTCATTACTTTAAATTTAAATACAAATAACCATGGATTATTCATGGCTACCATACTACACAACACATATCTAAGTTTTTAATTTTCTGTAATACAGGGTTGGAAATATCTCATTCTCAATTATGCTGTACTAAAAGCCTGAATAGCTAAAAACAATTTAAGGTGGGTGCAATTTCATTTGGCTAAACCTTTACTTGCATGGATTGAATGTATTTTTATTCCTTATTTATCATACTTTGTATAAATATTTATGATTTGCTAAAGAAAAGGCCAGCCAGGTGTGGAGGCTCACACTTGTAATCCCAGCACTTTGGGAGGCCAAAGTGGAAGGATCATTTGCACCCAGGAGCTGGAGGCCAGCCCGGGCAACATAGTGAAACCCTATCTTTACAGAAAATAAAAAAAATTAGCTGGGTGTAGTGGCATGTGCCTGTAGTCCCAGCTACTTGGGAGGCTGAAGTGGGAGGATTGCTGGAGCCCGAGTGGTTGAGGCTGCTGTGAGCTATGGTCATACCACCGCACTCCAGCCTGGGTGACAGAGCAAGGCCCTGTCTCAAAAAAAAAAAAAAAAAAAAGGAAAAAAGAAAAGAAATATCACGTATTCAATTATTTGGTATCTCCCCACTCCCACATTATTGGGAGTATTAGAAAATCTATAGCAACTATTATGTATCATAATATCTTTCTAGAATGAATATATTTGTGTGTAGGCATATAGTATACATATAATATATGGAAATGTTTATACATCTACATTTTACTCTGTACATTTATCTGCATTTATCTATCATCTATCTACCTATGTAATCTAATCTGTCACATTTAACACCTAAGTACTTCGGTATATAATTCCCCAAAACAAGGACTTTCTCCTACATAATAATAATAATAACATTCACACTCAATGAATTATTATCAATAGGTTAATATTATCTAATATCTTACAATTACATTTTCCCAGTTATACTAAAATATCTCTTATAGCTTTTTTTTGGTGGACTTCCTGTAGTCCAGTCAAGGAACAAGCTTTTAATTTGGTTATCTTGTTTTGTTAGTCCTCTCTCATTACTAACAGTTTTTTTTAGTTTGTTTCACTTTAATACACTGACAGTTTTTAAAAGTCCTGTCCCCTTGTTATGTAAAATGTTGCTCAGTCTGGTTTTGTTTGAATGCTTTTTTGACAAGTAGATTCCAGTTATGTGTTTTTGGCAAGAAAGTTACGTAGGTGATGTTATATATGTGCTACTGCATCACGTGTGCAGTCCACATTTTGTAACGGTGTGTCTGCTAGTCTCTCCATTGTTGGGGTTCTGTTTTTCATATACAGTTAATAAAAAGATGGCATGGTACTTTAAGGTCTTGTGAATATTACTTTCCCAATTAATTTGCCCAGTAGTTTTAAAGTTAATGGATGATCCTTGCTTGAATCTATGGTCCTACCTGAATGGCTGCAAAAATGATGATTTTTCTACTTTTATCATTCCTTACGTGTTTTTTAGGTTGGGTTCATCTATAATGAAGAGTTCTCCCACATGTTTTAATGAAAAGAAACGTATAACACTTCTGTGATCAACCCTTCAATTGATTTTAGTGTACTTGTTGATATTATCTCAGAAGTCATTTTTAATAGATCAGACCTCCATTTAAAAAAACCCTATGAACAGATTCCAAATTCTCCTGACTCTTTAAGTGCCAGCAGAGGCTTCTATTTAAAAATCTTCATCTGGAAGTCCTTGTCAGAGCAATCAGGCAAGAGAAGGAAAGAAAACGTATTCAAATAGGAAAAGAAGAAATCAAACTATCTCTCTTCACTGACGATATGATTGTACACCTAGAAAACCCTGAAGACTCTGCCAAAAGGGCCCCTGGAAGTGATAAATGACTTCAGTAAAGTTTCAGGATACAAAATAAATGTACAAAAATCAATAGCATTTTTACATATCAGTAACGTTCAAGCTGACAGCCAAATCAAGAACGCAATCCCATTTACAATAGCCACAAAACATTAAATCCCTAGGAATACATCTAACTAAGGCAGTGAAAGATCTCTATAAGGAAAACTACAAAACACTACTGAAAGAAATCGTAGATGACACAAACAAATGGAAAATCATTCCATTCTCATGGATTGGAAGAATCAATACCGTTAAAATGGCCATACTGCCCAAAGCAATCTACTGATTCAATGCTATTCCTATCAGACTACCAGTGTCTCTTGTAAAATTCATATGGAAACAAAAAAGAGCCTGAATAGCCAAAACAAACCTAAGCAAAGAGAGCAAAGCTGGAGTCATCGTGCTACCAGACTTCAAACTATGCTATAAGGCTACAGTAACCAAAAAAGCATGGTACTGGTACAAAAACAGATACACAGACCCATAAAACATAATAGAGAACCCAGAAATAAAGCTGCATATCTACAGCCATCTGATCTTCAACAACGCTGACAAAAAATAGACAGTGGGAAGGGACTCCCTATTCAATAAATGATGCTGGGATGGCAGGGTAGCCATATGCAGAATGAAACTGGACCCCATCCTTTCACCATATACAAATATGAACTCAAGATGGATTAAAGTTTTAAATGTAAGACATCAAACTTTAAGAATTGCAAGAGAAATACCTAGGAAACACCATTGTGGACATTGACCTTGGGAAAGAATTCATGACTAAGTCCTCAAAAGCAATCACAATGAAAAAAAATTGATATGTTAATTAAAATTGATACATTAGTTACAAACTAAAGAGCTTCTGCATAACAAAAGTAACTATTAACAAGGTAGACAGATAACCTACAGAATGGGAGGAAATATTTACCAAGTATGCATCTGACAATGGTCTAATGTCCTATAAGGTAATTAAACAATTGAACAAACAAAAAACAATGCCATTAAAAAGTGGGGAAGACATGAACAGACACTTCTCAAAAGACAACAAGTGGCCAATAAACATGAAAAAATGCTTCACATCACTAACCAGAGAAATGCAAATCAAAACCAAAATGGGATACCATCTCACATCAGTCAGAATAGCAATGATTAAAAGGCAAAAAATACTATTCACAATGGCAAAGGATTGGAATCAACCTAAATGCCCATCAACAGTGGACTGGATAAAAAAAGGTGGTACAAATACACCAGGAAACAGTATGCAGCCATAAAAATGAATTAAATATTGTCTTTCGTAGCAACATAGATGCAGTTGGAGTGAATTAACGCAGGAACAGAAAACCAACTATTGTACATTCTCACTTACAAGGGGGAGTTAAACATCGGTACTCATGGACATAAAGATGGCAACAGTAGACACTGGGGACTGCTAGATGGGGGCTGGAGGGAAGGAAGGGTTGAAAAACTACCTGTTGCGTGCTGTGCTCTCTACTTGGGTGATGGAATTATTTGTACCCCAAACCTCAGCATCACACAATATACCCGTGTAACAATCCTGCAAACAAACAACAACAAAAAAAGGTAATCCATGTGTGAGATATGTGAAAACTGAAGTGATGAAATACGACAGCAAGTGGGGATGTACACCAGGGTCCAAGCTTGATGATAAACGGGATTCAGAAGGATACCCCATGTACTCAAATGCTCAGGACTTCAAATGCAATTAATTGGAGGGGACTTTATTAAAGTCACTGCCACTTGCCTTAAATTCATCCTGCTTCTTACTAGGTCTGTCTACGTGGGAATGTAACTTCTTTGGACCTCAATTTTCTTATCTATTGATCAAAGAAATTGGACTAGGTGATTTCCATCGCTTCTTCCCACTCTTTGACTTCTTTATAACTTAGTTTGTCTGTTTTGCTGTTTCCAGGGCACGACCATAATAACATCACTGACTTCTGTGCTGCACAATGACAAAGAATTCCCCAACCCAGAGATGTTTGACCCTGGCCACTTTCTGGATAGGAGTGGCAACTTTAAGAAAAGTGACTACTTCATGCCTTTCTCAGCAGGTAATAGATATTCATTTTCATCTGTCCTTCAGGTGACATGATACCTTTTTGGGATCATTTGACTCTTACATGATGCCTCCTGTGGGGTCTGGCTGAATTGCTTTGCAGATCATTAGCACCGTTCCCTATGCCTATGCGATTTCCCTGCTGATGAACATCCCCATTATTGGGCCAGATTAATGGGGCTTTGGGGAGTTGATCCAGTTTTTCAAACTGAAAAAGCTAGAGTGTAGGTTAATTTAATTCTGCCTCTAGATACATCACTGAGCTACCCAAGAGCTCCTCTTACTGGGTGAAACTTATTTAGACATTTCTCATCTGCTATGAGAAAGGTATCTAATTCCATGACTTTGAATATCTGCCCTGTGGTGTCCTTTGCTCCCTAGACTGAGCTCTAGGTATCTGAGCTCAGAAGTATCTGAGAGCAGAGAATGGGCTCCTAAGAGGCTCACTTCTGATTTAGAGAAGTAGACAAGTAAACAGATCATTGTAATATAGTAGGAGGAAGGCTGCCAGAGGGGAAAGCACAGGATGTTGGGGAGCTCAGCAGGGGAAGCTGCCTGCTTCCTGCTCATTCACAGGCCATAACACTTCCAAGAGGAAGGAAACTTAAGCTACCTCATTGGAGCAGGAAGCCGGACAAGAAGAGAAGGCAGGGAACTTTTACAGAGGTAATGGACCACAGTAGCAGGACATTTTTTGTAGATCTAGGTGGTTAGCACCTGCCAACAAATTTCAGGGTCAGGAAACCCTGAGAATATGGAAGAATAGTCTGCGATTATTCCAGAGTACCTTGATCTCCCTTCACTCATGATCATACATCTTGGATATTCAATCTCTACAGCTAAAGTGTGTGGTGAGTCTGTGGACATAGAGTTCCCTTCATTTTTTTCTCTGGCTTTTGATCTCTGCTTTGGATCTGGCACTGTATACACTAATAATGTCAAGAACTGAGACCTTTTAAGGATCTCACGTTTTAGCAGGATAGAAAAACAATACACAGATAATAGAATTCCAGGTGATTCATGCTTCAGCGGAAGCATGAATATGATGAGGAAACCTAGAGAGGGTGAGTTTCTGTTGACTAGGGATCACAGAAATCAAAAAGAGGAAATGACATGAGACATAAATTCTGAAGGAAGCATAAGAGTAGAGCTTTTTAGACAGATGGGACGGCAAGGGATAACGCTTGAAACTTTGTGGTGTGTTGGAGATTGATGAAGAATGGATATGCCTGGAGCTGAGAGTGGAGGAGATGAACAATGGAAGATGTGATATAGAATGTCAGCCTGGAAACAGAATGGGAAGAGTCAGGTCAAGCCATTTGGCCCTTATCCCATAGGACAGATGGGTGTCGTTTAAAGTTGTAAAGTGAGAGAGTGACATGTTTAGACATGTACTTTTGAAAGTACACTAGGAAAAAATCTTTGGCTAAATATTGTGCCAGAGGTACAAAGGGGAACACAGTATATGAGCCTTCTCCTTTCAGCCCTTCTTCCCTGTGAGTGCATTTCTAGAAAAAGACTGATGGAAACTAGTAGTGTCAAAAGAGCAGTTATAATGTGGGAATACTTAGTGAAGTGCATGGCATAGAGCTGATACTCTATAAATATTTGTTGAGTGAAGGGTACTTAGTAACATAAGATATTAAGTAGATAGGAAGTGTATCCATTTTTCTTTCTGTGTATCCAACCTTCCTTCCAGCCATTCTGCCTTCGATCCATCCATCTATTTAATCATTTATCAAATAGTTACTGCATACTTTTTGTGACTGTTCGTGACCTAATGTTCAGGGAACAAATCGTCTATGTCTGTTATTTTCAGGAAAACGGATGTGTGTGGGAGAGGGCCTGGCCCGCATGGAGCTGTTTTTATTCCTGACCACCATTTTGCAGAACTTTAACCTGAAATCTCAGGTTGACCCAAAGGATATTGACATCACCCCCATTGCCAATGCATTTGGTCGTGTGCCACCCTTGTACCAGCTCTGCTTCATTCCTGTCTGAAGAAGGGCAGATGGTCTGGCTGCTGCTGTGCTGTCACCTGCAATTCTCCCTTATGGGGACCATCACCCTCTTCCTTCCCACCATGAGAGATATCTTCTCTGACTTGTCAACCCACATCTTCCCATTCCCTCAAGATCCAGTGAACAACCCCCATTAAAGAGAGTTTCTTGGGTCACTGCATACATATATCTGCTATTCTCCACACTCTGTAACACTTGTATTGACCACCACATATGCTAATACCTATCTACTGCTGAGTTGTTAATATGTTATCACTATAAAACAAAGAAAAATGATTAATAAATGACAATTCAGAGCCATTTATTCTCTGCATGTTCTAGATAAAAAGGATTATTATTTGCTGGGTCAGTTCTTAGATTTCTTGCTTTTGAATAAAATGAAAGTGAGAAATGAAAGAAAATAGAATGTGAAGAGGCTTTGCTGGACCTCATAATGTTAAGCACAAAAAGGGAGAAAGGTAAGAGGGTAGGAAAGCTGTTTTGGCTGAGAATCACCTAGAATTACTAGAGATCTGGATTTGGAACAGAAAAATTATGTCCAGAAGCAGCTGTAACCTGTAGGGAAATACTGAAACAATCAGCCATAAGAGGAATGAACATTAAGTATTTGAATTCATGATCTGATTTTGTGTTACTGTAAACACAAGATCAAGATTTGGATAATCTTTTTCCTTTGTGTTTCCAACTTAGGTCATGTCTAAATATATGCTTTCATATTGCTAATCATGTGTTAATGGCTGTTATTTTTCTCTTCCAAACAAGAGCAAAATCTCCAGAAATCCTCACCAGGTTTTATTTTTTTCTATTTTACACCGCATACTTTTTTTTATTTTTTATTTTTTTATTTTACTGAACATAAATGCAATGGTAATTAGATGCTACGATCCTGAAATTATTAGCCTTATGTCAACTCTAAAGCTTAAACAAGTGAACAACTCATAGACATCAAATTCTAGTCATCTTTTTTTCCTTCCTTCTGTCTTGAAGTGTATGAAATGAGAAGTGACACATTAACTTTTTCTCAGCTCATCTCCAAGAGAAAGCCATTTATACTTATTGTGCATTTGTAAGATTACACATGTGTATAGTTTTATAAACATACACACATATGTCTGTATAGGTGTATATTTACACATAATATATACATGCATGTATATATGAGATTAATAGTGGCTCTTTAATATACTGGGTTTATATTGCACACATAATATTATATAACTTGCTGGTTTTTTTTTTAACTTTTATTTTAGGAGGTCCACATGCAGGTTTGTTATATTGGTAAACTCATGTCACAGGTTTTTTTTGTACATCTTATTTCATCACTCGAGTACTAAGCCTAGTACTCAATAGTTATCTTTTTTTCTGCTCTTCTCCCTCCTCTCACCCTCCACCCTCATACTGTCCCTAGTGTCTGTTGTTCCTTTCTTTGTGTTCATGAGTTCTCATCATTTAATGCCCACCTATACATGAGAGCATGTGGCATTTGGTTTTCTGTTTCTGTTAGTTTGCTAATGGTACTGGCCCCAGATCCATCAATTTTCCTGCAAAAGACATGATTTGTACTAAACAATACACCAGGAAAACTTCCAAGGTAGTAGAAACATGGGCAAGTCATTTCATTGGGCAGATTACAGAAGAGAAAATGGAAATGGCTATTAAAAGTATTAAAATAGCTTAAAAATAAAAAGGATACATGAAAGCTACATTACTTGTAGTATTAGCAATAAAACAGACATTTCCTTATTTAACCAATAGATAATATAGAGGAACTTTTTCACCAACACTACAATCCCATGACTGTGTTGAGCTTAAAGCAGGGAGTGAGCAATGGTTGTATTGGCAATGCTGTCCAAAGTTGCCCTCCAGGTGGACTAAAGATTCTCTAAGTTAAGTGAAAATCATAGGCATTAATAGTGATAAGAGTCTTACAATACGGAGTCTTTTTCCAGTGTTGTGGGACATGCTGTCAATAGCATGAAACCATGAAGTCATTGACTTCTCATCCTGGTTTGCAATTTTAATATCTCTGGTTATTGGCATTGGGAGGTTTGGTAAATTTTCTGTGTGCCCCACACATCAGGAATGAGGCTCGTCCCTTAAAATTAATCTAGTTTCAGATTACAGGGCTTCAGGAACAGTATCAAGTCCCAGCTTTAGTAATTTCATAGAAGAAAATGGGATTAGAGAAATCTAGAAGAATTCAGGATCTAGTCTAGCCTATAGGTAGATAACAAGAACTAGAAAACAATGTACAAGGCTACAATCCAATAACAGGTCTAACTTTTCTCTACAAACATACTTTTTCTCTGTACATTGATTATAGAGGAATCTCAGATTTATTGTTTATTTCTTTTTTTAACTTTTAGGTTCAAGTTACATGTGCAGGTTTGTTATGCAGGTTAATTTCATGTCACAGGAGTTTGGTATACAGATTATTATTTCATCACCCAGATAATAAGCATAGTTCTTGATAGTGTTTCGATTTTCACCCTCCACTCTCAAGTAGGCCCCGAAGTCTGTTGTTCCCTTCTTTGTACCCATGTGTTCTCAATGTTTAGCTCCCACTTATAAGTGAGAACATGCACTACTTGGTTTTCTGTTCCTATGTTAGTTCTCTTAGAATAATGGCCTCCAGCTCCATCTATGTTCCTGCAAAGGACGTGATCTTGTTCTTTTATATGGCTGTGTAGTATTCCTCAGTGTATATGTACACATTTTCTTTATTCAGTATACCATTGATGTGCATTTAAGTTGATTCCATGTTCTTGCTATTGTGAATAGTGCTGCAATGAACATATGTATGCATATGTCTTTATGGCAGAACAATTTATATTCCTTTGGGTAGTATATACCCAATAATGGGATTGCTGAGTTGAGTGGTAATTGTGTTTTAAGTTCTTTGATAAATCACCAAAGTGCTTTCCAACGTGGCTGAACTAATTTACATTCCCACCAGGAGTCTATAAGCATTCCTTTTGCTCTGCAGCCTTGCTAGCATGTGTTATTTTTTGACTTTTTATTATGATAGCCATTCTGACTGGAGTGAGATAATATGTCATTGTGGTTTTGATTGGCACTTCTCTAATGGTTAGTGATGTTGGACATTTTTTAATGTTCATTGGCTGTATGTATGTATGACTTCTTTTGAAAAGTGTCTGTTCATGTTCTTTGCCCACTGTTTAATTGGATTGTTTGTTTTTTGCTTTTTAATTTGTTTAAGTTCCTTATGGATTCTGCATGTTAGACCTTTGTTGGATGCATAGTTTGCAAATATTTTCTCCCATTCTGCAGGTTGTGTCTTTACTTTGTTGGTAGTTTCTTTTGCTGTGGAGAAGCTCTTTAGTTTAATTAGGTCTCATTTGTCAATTTTTGCTTTTGTTGCAATCACTTTTGGCATCTTTATCATGAAAGTTTTGCCAGGCCTTATATCCAGAATGGTATTTCCTTGATTATCCTCCGAGGTGTTTATAGTTTTAGGTTTTACATATAAGTCTTTAATTAATCTTGACTTTTGTATATGGTGTAAGGAAGGGATGCACTTTCAGTTATCTGCATATGGCTTGCCAATTATTTCAGCACCATTTATTGAAGAGGGAGTCCTTTTCCCATTGCTTGTTTTTGTTGACTTTGTTGAAGATCAGATGGATATAGGTGTGTAGCATTATTTATGGGCTCTGTATGTTGTTCCATTGGTCTATGTGTCTATTTTTGTACCAGTACCATGCTGTTTTGGTTATTGTAGCCTTATAGCATAGTTTGAAGTCAGGTAATGTGATGCCTTCATCTTTGTTCTTTTTGCTTAGGATTGCCTTGGCTATTCAGGTTCTTTTTTGGTTTCATATAAATTTAGCATAGCTTTTTCTAATTCTGAGAATAATGTCATTGATAGTTTGATAGAAATAGCATTGAATCTGTAAATTGTGTTGCGTAGTATGACCATTTTAATAATATCGATTCTTCTAATCCATTAGCATGGAATGTTTTTCCATTTGCTTCTGTCGTCTCTGGTTTCTTTCATCAATGATTTGTAGTTTTCTTTATAGAGTTCTTTCATTTCCCTGGTTAGCTGTATTCCTAGGTATTGTGTTCTTTTTGTGGCTATTGTGAATGGGATTGTGTTCTTGATTTGGCTTTCAGCTTGGATGTTGTTGGTATATAGAAATGCTATGAATTTTTGTACATAAATCTTATATCCCAAAACTTTGCTGAAATTATTTATCAGATCAAGGAGCTTTTGGGAACAGACTTTGGGTTTTCGAGGCATAGAATCATATCATCTGCAGTGATAGATTGACTTCCTGTCTTCCAATTTGGGTGAGTTTTATTTCTTTCTCTTGCCTGATTGCTCTGGCTAGGACTTGCAATACCATGTTTAACAGGAGTGGTAAGAAATGGCAACCTTGTCTTGGTCCTGTTTTTAAGGGAAATGCTTCTAGCTTTTGCTCATTCAGTATATGTGGCTGTGGGTGTGTCTTTGATCACTCTTATTCTTTTCTTTATTCCTCCTTTGTCTTTCTCTGTTTCTTTTTAAATTATTATTGTTTACTAGATAAGATGGCTCTTACTATTTTGATGCATGTTTCTTAAAAGCCCGCTTTGTTGAGGGTTTTTTAACATGAAGGGATGTAGGATTTTATCAAAGGCCTTTTCTGCGTATATTGAGATAATCACATAGTTTTTATTTTTAATTCTGTTTATGCCATGAATCACGTTTGCTGATTTGTGTACGTTAAACCAATCATATATCAGAGATAAAGCCTAATTGACTGTAGTGGATTAACTGTTTAATGTGCTGCTGGATTCAGTTTGCTGGAATTTTGTTGAGGACTTTTGCATCAATATTCGTCAAGGATATTGACCTGAATTTGTGGGCATTTGTGTGTGTATGTGTGTGTGTGTGTGTGTGTGTACCAAGTTTTGATATTGGGATGATGTTGGCCTTAAAGAATGGGTTACTGAGGTATCCCTGCTACTCATTTTTTGGGAATCATTTCCATAGTAATAGTTCCTGTTCTTTATACATCTTGTTGAATTCAGCTATCGATCTATCTGGTCCTGAGCTTTTTTTTTTTTTTCCTAGTTGGTAGGCTTTATATTGCTAATTCAATTTTGGAACTCATTATTGGTTTGTTCAAGGATTTGATTTCTTCCTGGTTCAATCTTGGGAGGTTGTATGTCTCCAGAAATTTGCCTGTTTCTTCTAGGTTTTCTAGCTTGTGTGCATAGAGTGTTTTTGGTAGTCTCTGATGGCTTTTGTATTCTTGTGGGTTTGATGGTAATGTGCCAAGACCAGCTCGGTCAGGGAGACCCTAAACCAGTGGCGCTAGAGGAATTAAAGACACACACACAGAAATATAGAGGTGTGAAGTGGGAAATCAAGGGTCTCACAGCCTTCAGAACTGAGAGTCCCAAACAGAGATTTACCCACGTATTTATTAACAGCAAGCCAGTCATTAGCATTGTTTCCATAGATATTTGATTAACTAAAAATATCCCTTATGGGAAGTGAAGGGATGGGCCAAAAAAAGGGATGAGTCTGGCTAGTTATCTGCAGCAGGAACATGCCCTTAAGGCACATATTGCTCATGCTATTGTTTATGGTTTAAGAATGCCTTTAAGTGGTTTTCTGTCCTGGGTGGGCCAGGTGTTCCTTGCCCTCATTCCGGTAAACCCACAATCTGCTAGTGTGGGCATTATGGCCATCATGAACATGTTGCAGT